GGACCCACGTGACGGCCGCGCTCGGTTTGGGGTTTGGGGATGGAGTTGGGTGCTGAGTGCTCGGTGCTTCTGCCGGCCTGGGCGACTATGGGGCGGGCGGGGAGTTGGGATGGTGCGGGTCGCGGGGTCAGGGCGGGGTCGCGGGGTCACGGATCGGCATCATTCGCACCCCCCGGCCCCGCCCCGGACCCCGGGTTCGGCTGCTGGGGGGTGGAGTGGGTGCTGAGTGCTCGGTCGGGGTCAGGGACTGAGAACCAGGGACTCAGCACCGAGCACCGAGGACTCAGCACCGGGGACTCAGCACCAAGCACTGTCAATCACCCACAGCCCCCGCCCCCTGTCAATCACCCACGGCCCCGCCCCTGTCAATCACCCACAGCCCCGCCCCGTCAATCACCCCAGCCCCGCCCCTGTCAATCACCCCAGCCCCGCCCCTGTCAATCACCGCAGCCCCGCCCCTGTCAATCACCCACAGCCCCGCCCCTATCCCCCTCAATCAGCCTCTGCCCGTCGGGCCCCGCCCCCGACCTGTCAATCACCGTCAGGCCCCGCCCACTCCTTCCCCACTGGCTCCGCCCTCTTTCCTGTCAGTCAATTCCTGCGGGCCCCGCCCACCGCAGCTGTCAATCAGGACCCCGCCCCCGGCCCGTCCATCCGGACAACCACAGAGGGCGGGGTCGCGTGGCTGCGGTGGGCGGGGCCTGCAGGGAGCAGGGGGCGGGGTCTCAGGGCCTGGGACCTCAGGGGTGGGCGGGGCCTGACGGCTGATTGACAAGGTGCGGTGGGCGGGGCCTCGAGGGGACGGGAGGGAGGGTGGGCGGGGCCTCCCTGATGACTGACAGGGGTGGGCGGAGCCACCTTATCTCATTTCAATGACCGAGGGGCGTGGCCCGGGCTCCTCATTTGCATTTTATGCAAATCCCCGACCCCTGCGGTTCCCGCGGCCCCGCCCCTCCCGGCTGTCAGTCACAGACCCGGGCCCCGCCCCTCCCCCGCCCCTGTTGGCTGGGAAGAGCGTGTGGGCGGGGCCGCGCCTGTCACTCAAGCCCCGGGCAGGCCCCGCCCACACGTCCTGTCAGTCACCGCGGGGCCTGGGGGTGACTGACGGCTGTGGGCGGGGCCTGGGGTGACTGACGGCTGTGGGCGGGGCCTGGGGGTGACTGACGGCTGTGAGGGCTGTGGGCGGGGCCTGGGGGTGACTGACGGCTGTGAGGGCTGTGGGCGGGGCCTGGGGGTGACTGAGGGCGGGGCCTGGGGGTGACTGACGGCTGTGGGCGGGGCCTGGGCGTGACTGACGGCTGTGAGGGCTGTGGGCGGGGCCTGGGGGTGACTGACGGCTGTGGGCGGGACCTGGGGGTGACTGACGGCTGTGGGGGCTGTGGGCGGGGCCTGGGGGTGACTGACGGCTGAGGGCGGGGCCTGGGGGTGACTGAGGGCTCTGGGCGGGGCCTGGGGGTGACTGACGGCTGTGGGCGGGGCCTGGCGGGAAGGGAGGAGGACCGAGTCCAGCACCCCGGGCCCCAACCCCGCAGTCAGCACCGGATGGGGGGGCGGAAGTTGTTTTTGTTATTGTTATTCGTTGTCAGCTGTTTGTTGTTGTTTATTTACTAGTGTTGTTTGTTATGTATTATTATTATTTATCATTTCTGTTATTATTGTTATTACTTATTTATTATTATTATTGTTATTTGTTATTGTTTATTTATTTGTCATTTCTGTTATTATTATTTATTATTGTTATTTCTTATTATTGATATTTATTATTTTTGTTATTATTTATTATTACTTATTTATTATTATTGTTATTTGTTATGCGTTATTATTATTTATCATTTCTGTGTTGTTGTTTTTTTATTGTTATTTACTTTTGCCGTTGTTGTTGTTGTTGTCTTGACGTTGTTGTTGTTGTTGTTGTTGAAATGAACGATAAATAACATCGACGACGACAACAACAACAACAATTTAATAACCAATAAGTAATAATAAACAAACAACAACAACGACAGACCTTAAATAACAGTCACGGCGGCGGCAAGAGTCACGAACAACACCGACAACAATAACAATAACAACAACAACAAATAAATAAAAAAAATAATAATAATAACAAAAAAACAACAACAAAGTCACAACAAATAAATAAAAATAACAATAACAAACAATAAACAAATAAATAAAAATAAAAATAATAATAATAACAACAACAAATAAATAAAAATAACAACAACAACAACAACGCCGGGTCCTCAATAATAATAACAAACAACAACCAAAAAAAGCGCTGAGTTTCCAGCACCCTAGGTACCGAGCTCCCAGCACCCAGCAGTGACCCTGAGTACTGAGCACCCAGCACCCTCAGCACCCAGCTCCTCATGTACTGAGCACCCCGCACCGACGCCGTTCCTGCTCCTCTCGTCGCCCCGCCCGTCCCCGACAAGGCTCCCGTCTCCCGGTGATGACGCGATCTGCCCGCACTGAGGTCGTTTCTAGGGCTCCGTCGCCCCGCGATGACGCGGCCCGCCCGGTCTGACGCCGTTTATGAGTTCCCGACGCCCGGTGATGACGCGATCTGCCCGCACTGACGCCGTTTCTGAGGCTCCGTCGCCCCGCG